CCCCCCCCCCCACCCCGCCACGAAGGTCATGCACAGAAGTGTGCCTCTTTCCTAGCCATTGAAGCTTTTTTGAACCACATAACCAAAAAAAAAAATAAAACAGCCTGTCCATCTTTCCTTTTTAGAAGAGCCAGATGTAATTCTCTTTTTTTCTGTTTGTGCCAGGTTCAAAGAAACATCATCACAGACAATGAAAGACAAACCTATAAGCAGCAGGATATAAATGTGCTATCTGCTCGAGGTACTTCAATTTCAAAGGCAAGCGTGCCTATATTTTATAATGTTTATTTAAGATGGTGCAACTTTTGGGGCCGTTTTCACTTTCTCTCTCCTGAAGATGAAACGACTTCAGGTGCCCTGGGAGAAAGAGAGCTTCAACAAGTTGGTTCCTGTACCCCTGGTAAACCAAGCCTGGCCTCCCAGGAGGCAGGCAGCACCGCCCACTCCAAGCCGGATTCAGAGCTCTTCTCATTGGCTGGCTTAACTGCTGAAAGACACCTTTCTTCTTCTGTCAGCTAATAGATGACAGCAAATTAAAACTTGACCAGAGGCAGAGAAGGGGAAACGCCAGGTTCAAATTCTTTGAAACTCCAGTTTCTCAAATTTCGCTAATGAATTTAGTTCAAAGGAGGATTGTTAAAGGCTCTTCACTCAACACTTGTTCACTCGATTCTTCCTAGTCTGTTTTTGCTCTCCGCAGACTTTCTTTTTTCTCTTAAGCAGTGTATAAATTTTAAAACTCATCTGGCAGGACGGCTAAACTTGCAGTCACTAGTGTGGTGGGTTGTGGTGCAGACCCTCATCATATCGTACCAGGAGACTGCAGAATTGCCTGGTCTTTCTGACCCCAGACTGTCCATTTCTAGTCCATTCTCCTCCAACTGCACCTAAGTTACCTTCCTAATTCAACGTTTTCCCTTTATCATGTCTTTCTCCCCTGCTGACGGAGCTCTACCAGCACCTTTTCCCTATAGAGTTCCCTAGCATGGGAGGCAGCCTGGTTGCAACCCAAGCTTCCAGAATCTCCTTTTGCCCCATCCCTCTACCTTCCAGGCAAAACAGACAGACAGCTCCCGTGCCCTTCCACCGGCGGCTCTCTGCCTTCCCTGCTGATGGAAGCCTGACTGCCCTGCCATGTTCCTCAGCTCTCAGCCCTCCCTGTTCTGTGTTTACACCTACATTACAACACTTACTCCATATTCTAACTTAACTGGTTTTGTATCTGCTTCCCCACTACACTGGGAATCCTTCCGGGACACGCCTTAGGCATCTTTCTATCCCTGGAGCTTAACATAGTGCCTCGCTGTCCAACACCTGTCAAACATTTAGCACCCTCAGTCGTTCAATGTTTGAGAGGTATTGGACATACAGCACTCACTTTCACTCCAGGGATATCTAGGGAAGAGAAGACCGCTGACTCTATTCTGGATTCCCTGTCTCAGAATTAAGCAAGCCAAAAGAGTAATTGTAGAACCATGTTTTTTTGTTTTAGCCATTTGTATAATTAAATACATGTCATTTACCAATGAAATGGAATGTTCAAATCCAGTATGAAGTATTTGTACATAGCTCAATATGTCCTCTATCATCAAATGCAGATTGCCATCAGCTGTATTTCCTGAATCAGTGTCAGGGTGCAGCTCCTCCCCATTCTTCAGGGACAGATGTAAAACTTAACCTGTTGGACACCCGATGCAGCAGGGACAACAGCTAGAGAAATGAAAGTGGGGGATTCTGAAGGCTTGCTAGCTGTGGCTTGGGGGAGCTGTCTCAGTCCGGGAAGGCAGAACCTGGTAGTTTCAACATCTATGCTCCCTTTACCCAACACTGGGCTTGCAACTAAGTAAATTAAATACTCCATGTGCTTTGAATGGATTTCTATGAGATCAGCACTTACATAGGTAGGAAGAAATAGAAGGTAAAAGGGAGAGGAGTGAATAAATATGTGAGTTGTCAATACTGTGTTATGTGTGACAAGGTAATGAGGAAACAAAACGCCCCTTATCCATCCAGCCAGCATTCATTTGGCAGGTCTTACATAAGGCGTTTGAAATACAAAGATGGGCACAGTGTTTCTAACCTCATGGAGATTACGGTCTATCTTTTCCTTCCTGCTCCTGTTCTCCTTCCTGTCCCATACCCTACATGCCACCTTCCAACAAAGAACTGGGAGAGCTACTCGGCTAACCCAACAATGGGTACCCCTCTCCATGATGTCAGCCAACTAAGACTCATTCCCATGAACAAGACACTCACCCCTCTGCCTCTTATTGGCAAAAGACATGGTTACTCCAGAGGGCTTGAGGTTGAGAGTGAGCACATGAGGGATTGTGGCTGTTGGACAGGCTTGGTCACTCTTTGGTTATTTCCACACCCTCTTAAAGTAGAGCTCTAAACCAAAGGCATTTCCCCCATCAGTTGCTTTTCATGGATGCCACTGAAGCATCCATGGTGACCAGAAAATCCCGGTGCAACTAAAAGTGGTATTGAGACCCCAATCCTTGGGGGGCTGCTTTCCTTTCTGGTCTCTGAGGTCAGGCTGTCCTCCTGCCTGCCAGGTTACCAGGTAATCTTAAAACACAGCCCTTGCCCTAGCGGGTTTGGCTCAGTGGTTAGAAAGTCAGCCCAGGACTGAAGGATCTTGGGTTCAATTCTGGTCAAGGGTACATACCTCGGTTGCAGGCTTGATCCCGGGCCCTGGTCGGGGCATGTGTGGGAGGAAACCAATTGATGTTTCTCTCTCTCTCTCCCTCTCTGTCCCTCTCTCTCTCTCTTCCTCCTCCCCCCTGCCTCCCTCCTGTTCTCTCTGAAAAGCAATGGAAAAAATATCCTTGAGGATTAAAAAACAAAAAAACACACAAATAAACAAAAAAACAACACAGTCCTTATCAAATTACTTCCTTGCTCCAAAATTTAGGGCTCCTTTATGCTGGTTATATTAAATATAAACGTCTATGACTATTTCCTAAACTCTCCTCCAAAATGTGATCCCCACCCAGCCTATCCCACTTTACTCTCCAATGTACCCCAATACCAATCTCCTCTTGGGCTCAGCCAGTGGCTATGCCCCCTCTGACCTTTATGCATGTGCCACCCGTGGTATCTCCTTACCCCTGCTCCACCTAGCTTTGCTTCTCAGAGCAACCTAAATCAACCTTTCTCTTCCCTGAGTCTTTATGCTTATTACCCAGATCACACCATTACCACCATTTTACAGGCAGCCCCATTCTTTAATAGTAAAGTACGAAATGCTTCTGTAATACAACTTGATCAGCTGTGTATATGTGCACAGATTCACATAAAAGTGTGTGCCCTGTCTGCACTAGGCTGTTAACACCCACGAATCCAGATCTCACCCCAGAAACACGACCAGGTTCACAGGAGACCCTCAATAAGTATTAGGTAAGGATATGATAACAATCTTTCCCTGTATGTTTTAAGCTGTAGGTACCTTCTGCAGCTGCTCTTCCTCCTTCCATGGGATGTTCATTCCTTTACCACTTATTTACCAAGCACCTCCATGTGCCTGAAAGCAGAGACATCACAGTGAACAAGGCAGCTGTGGTCCCTGCTTTCTCGGTAGGTAGGGTCTTGAGTCTTGGCTGTGGCTGGAAAGCCAGGCCCGCTCTCTGACCGTGGACAGCCATTCGCTCTTGCTCTGTGGGAGTCTACCAGCCGCCAAGCGAACTGCACAGCAAGTGTGGGGACCAGCACTCGGGGAGACACTAAGGGGACAGGAGCAACATGCCAGGTGCAAAGCTGTTTATAAAGTGTCCCTCCCTGGCTTCTACTAAGATCGCAAATGAGGAAAACTACTTTCTTTTTTTTTTAACCTCTTTTACATTAGGCTGGTTTTGAATTAAAAGTTGAGACGTCACAACTTGTTTCACTGCTGGGCGCTGCTTGAAAGTGTTCTATAAGACAGAATAGTTTCCATCCACTTATCTCTGTTCCAAGTCATAACTTCTCTGAAATAAGCCTGCCAAATATTAGTTTATCTTAAAAGAAACCAGGTATAAAAATTAAGTGTTACTAAAAACTAATAATATGAATCACTGAACGTTTACATGAATAACTTATAATATTCATTCATTCATTCATTCATTCATTCATTCATTCATTCATTCATTCATTCAATGTTTAT